AATAAATCCTGACATTTTTCCCAGAGCAAGGAACAGCAAAGTTCCATATCATCCTGCCAAAATAAGTTAATCATCCAGAAATCAAAACATCTAGGTTACGAATATGCCTTGTACAAGCTTCTCATTGATCCAAAACAATTGAGAATAGTTTTATTGAATGGGTAAAAAGTTAACTGGTTGTTTCCAACTGAAGTTATGATAATACATTTAGTTCTGCGCGCGCACGAGCGCGCACACACACACACACACAGAACATGATGTGAACTGCTAAAGACAAGGATGGGTGGCAAGGGTGAGGAGACAGCAAGCATAGAATACTCAAATTCTGGCTGTCGAGGAGAAGAAAGCCTCCAACAGGTGGAGAGAGAAAAAAATATGTAGGAAGCAGTATTACTTAAAACCGAAAGAAGTAAACAAGTTCACAGAGCAAGAGTAAGGAGCAGGGAAAGAGAACTTGAAGCTTCAGGAAAGACTAGAGGGGCCCAGGTATACTCTAGAGCTACCTCCTTCCTGCACCTGACCACCTCACACCTGGGCATCTGTGAGAACATGGACTCTGTCCAGTGGGGCCTGAGCTTCTGCATTTCTACCAAGACTCTTAGGTGACTCACAAAGTTAGAGAGAGACAGACTTAGAGCCAAGGAGAACCATAACAGCAAGTTAGAGCCTTGTGAGGGCAGCCTCGGCCTCACCTGGGAGTCTTTTATAAATGCAGGAGCTGAGGCCCCACCTAGAGGGGTTGAATCCAGATCTGCACTGTCACACGACCTGCAGAAGAKTCCTTGGCACAGTTTGAGAAGCATTGCTCTAGATAATACAGGAGGCTGGCTAGGTCATCTCCTGAATGAAAGGGAGACTAGAAAATAATTGAAGGGAGAATTAGGAGAACAAGCCAATGAAGGATGTGTAAACAAAGATCAACAGGTGCCTATTTCCAAAAACCCAGAAGGTGATGTCCAGCTATCTTGTGTACAAAGATACTCAGTGAAGTTTCTCTGCCTCAATTTTTATATTTGGGCAAAAGAACTTTCTCTCTCTCTCTCTCTCTCTCTCTCTCTCTCTCTCTCTCATATCTCTCTCTCTCTCTCTCTGTATCAGAGGTTGAATTCAGAGGTGCTTAACCATTGAGCCACATCCCCAGTCCTTTTCATTTTTTATTTTAAGAGAGGGTCCCACTAAGATGCTGAGGCTGGCTTTGAATTTAGGATTCTCCTGCCTCAGCCTCCCAAGCTGCTGGGATTTCCGGTATGTGCCACCATTCCTGGCTATGCAAAAGACTTTCTACAACTATGTAATATGCAATGTTTCCTTCAAGTGTCCTCATGTTTTAAAAAATGGAATATTGCTTGTTCTCTCTCTCTCTCTCTCTCTCTCTCTCTCTCTCTCTCTCTCATTGATGAACTCAAAACATATTCTCAATTTCATTGAGGGACTATGTTAGGATTCTCCAGAAAAACAGAACCAATATGGAGTATCTACCAACCTATTGAGAGATTCGTTTTAAGGAGTTAAATCACACAATTGTGGAGGTTGGCAAGTCCAAAATCTGTAAGATAGACCAACAGGCTGGAGACACCTGGAAAAGCTAAAGTTGCATCTCAAATCCAAAGGCAGAATTCCCTTTTGCCTAGGGGAGGGGATTTTTGTTCTGTTCTAGCCTTCAGCTGATTGGATGAGGCCTCCCACAGTAGAGAGGGAAGAGTGCTTTACTCAAAACCCACCAGTTTAAATATTAATCAATCTCATCCAAAAACACCTCCATAGAAATATCCAGAATAATGATTGACCAAATATCTGGGCACTGTAACCCAGCCAAGTTAACATAAAAAATTAACCATCACCGATTCAGATGTTTTTGGTGTCATCCAGATCATAGCTGCCACACAGAGAGGTTGTGGATAAGTAGTCCCAGGGTAATTACTAGGATCTTATGGAAAAATCCAGAAAATTCTATGATATCCTCTATTTTATTCATGCAGTCTAGTTTAATGGGGATACATTCTAAACTCTGCTTCTAACTTGCAATTCACCAAATTTATTTCTGTTTCATCCAAGTAGAACCATAACAGCAAATTAAGACTATTAAGTCTATTAAAATCTTATCAGTCCCCTTTAAATGTGACCTCCCTTCTGGTCCATGTGGTCCCCTGGTTCTTGTGGTTTTCTCTTCTCTGAACTCTTAAGGAGGAAGCTGGCTGGGCCAGCCATTGGGTTATTATCAATGGCTTCTATTGTTAGTTCTCCTTTCAGGTCTATGCAAGTAGTGAACATCAGCCTATGCAAGCGCTGACGCTTGTTTTAAATCTGTTCTACCAATGAACGTATRTATATATTCGTTCATGCACATGAATGTTCTCTTCTTCAAAGCAATTTATTTTAATGATGCTTCCATTGCTTGAAGCATTTTTAAAATTCTTTAGAAACTCCCTTCAGAATCTGACACACATAKTCTTTAGAATTCTTCATTAGGGTCATAACTTTGCTCTCCAAGTACAGATTGGATATTTAAAACTGTAAGCATACATTCAAGTTGACAATTAAGGCAGGTGACCAAGTTGGGCAATGTTATCCCTTAGCCAGAAATCAAATTATTTCCATCAGGTAATGAGAAAAAAACAGCTCCTTCATTCTGTAAATCATTTCTGAACTTGCATTCTTATTGGAGTAAATCGATAGCCTCCAAGGACACTGACAGCTTGTATAAATCAATCACTTGGGTAAATCAATMCATGTTTGTTTTAAACTAAATTTTGCAGTTATACTTCATTAATTTTATTGCCCAGACTGGATCACAGGTATCTTGGGCATTTTCCCTTTGGAACTTCTCTTGTAGCACATATTTTATTGTTCTTGTAAGCTTGTACCCCGGTGTGTTTGCTTGTTTGTTTTGGTGTTGGGGATTSAAAACAAGGCCTTGTGCATGCTAAGTATGTGCTCTACCACTAAGCTACACCCTTGCTCTGTCTTCTTTTTTTGTTCTAATTAGTTATACATGACAGCAGAATACATTTCAGTTCATTGTATATAAACGGAGCACAATTTTTCATTTCTTTGGTTGTATATGATATAGCATTGAACCATATTAGCAGTCATACATGCACCTAGGGTAATGATGMTTACCTCATTCCACCATCTTTCCTACCCCCATTCCCTCTTCTCCCTCTTCTTTGCCCAAAGTTCCTCCATTCTCCCCACGCCCCGCCCCCTATTATGGATCAGCATTCACTTATCAGAGAGAACATTTGGCCTTTGGTTTTGGGGGATTGGCTTACTTCGATCAGCAAGAGATTCTCCAATTCCATCCATTTTCCTGCAAAGGCCATAATTTTATTCTCTTTTAAGGCTGAGTAATATTCCACTGTATGTATGTATGTATGTGTGTGTGTGTGTGTGTGTGTGTGTGTGTGTATAGATAGATAGATATATAGATATATCACAGTTTCTTTATCCATTCATCTCTTGAAGGGCATCTAGTTTGCTTCCACAGTTTAGCTATTGTGAATTGAGCTGCTATGAACATTGATGTGGCTACATCACTATAGTATGCTGATATTAAGYCCTTTAGGTATAAATGGAAAAGTGGGATAGCTGGGYCAAATGGTGGTTCTCTATCTTCTTTTAATAAAATTGGAAACTCCTTGACAACAAGGGTCAATTTTAAGCTCCATTATACACCAGGATCACCTCAATGCAACGCACAGATCATGACAGACACTCAATTATTCGTAYTGAATGAATGAACTGAACAAATGGACAAATTGCTTAGGTCTTCATCTATATAGTTCATCTATACAGTTGTGTGTGGCTGTAATAGACTACCTGAGGCTAGGAAATTTCTAAAAGGAAGTAGGTTGAGTTGGATCTGAAGTCCAAGAGCATGGTGCCAGCATCTTCTAGAGTTCTGGTGAGGGCCTCCTGCAGGTGGGGACTCTATAGGTATTGAGGTGCCGAACATCAGAAGGACAGAAAGAGCAAGTTTGCTTGGGTTTCTTTTGGATGTACAAATCCACTAATACAATCACGAGGGCTCCTTTATCATGACCTCATCTAATCCTAATTACCGCCCCCAAAGGCCCACCTCTAAATTCCATTGACATTTGACYTTGGGGGTTAAGTTTCAACGTGAGTTTTGATGAGGACAAAACATATCCAACCATAGCATTGTCCTATAGATTTCTATGGATCTTAAACTGTTAAAACATACACATTGGGCCACATGTATATGAGATTGAGGCCTTTTCTGTCCAGGTAGATCTTTCCTGGACTTTTTATCAATTTTACAGATTTCTCAACGTCACTTCTTTGTAATATTTGCTAATAAAATACAGTAGGTAGCACGGTGCATATTTCCTTATAGGCAGTTGATAAAACTTGGCTAAGTGGAAATTGAATGCATTTGGTTCAGAGTCAACTAAAATGATTTTAATGATGAAAGAAACCTTCCAGATCTTTAGTTCATTCCTGATGTAATTACTAATCATTTTTCTCAGTTCAGCTACTTAAAAAAAAAATCCTTTGTCAATTTTGTGAAGAGTTTCTATTTCCTTTGGGAAGCATTTAATACTTTATATCCACCTAAGGTTTGTTTGCACTGGTATTAAACTTATTTTATTATTAATATTCTGCATTTTTTACTGAAATTAATGCTCATCCTCTCCTGCTACTAAGAAGCATTTCTTCCTATTTTTCTGAAAGATCAGTATCAGATCTTTCTTTCTCCACATACTTTACAGCCCTGTTCTTCAAAGGCTCTTCTTGAGAAAGTGACTGTTGAAAAAATTCTTATTGTAATTTAGTAAGTCATAAGGCAAATACACCACGCAAAGACACYACCTGCAAACCACAAGGGAATGATCACACACACAAGGGAATTGGTGACCTCGAGGTTGAATGCTAGGAAAAGTTTTAATTGTGCAAATGTACCTCATAACATTTCAAATATAAATGTCAGGACCATCAGTAGTGTTATCAAACATATAATACAGGAACACTTTTTAAAAAAAAAAGACAGAAAAAAAATGATATTCAGGATCTATAAATCTCCCTCATTATGAGCAAATGTAGTGATCCATTCATACAAGTTTTTATATGTAGGATATGTTTTTTTTTTCCTTTTTGAAGAATTCCATCATAGCTATAAGATGAAAAATATATGGATAGAAAATGTAGTATGGTAATTATATAGATTTCTTCTATTTTTCTTTTCATGTTAGGATTRCAAAAAGCTTATTTTAAATGCCCAACTGACATGATGTACTTTCAGTAAGGAGGATAGTGCCATGTACCTTATCCTTCCCCTGTCATAGTTRGTACTACAACACCTGGCCTCATTCTCCATGTGCCACTTGGAGAAGAGAAAGGCCAAGGGACCTCCCATTTCAGGCTGTGGGTGGCAGGATTGCTGTCCTATCTGCCTGGCCAGTCATTCAGCAAACCTTACCTTGAATGTTTCCTATAAGGTTTCACACAGGCAGGATRAAAAACAAACTTGCCTCCCGGATGGAAGATGGCACAGGTTTTTTACCCACCAGGTTTGCAAGAGAAGAGCACTGTGAACCCCATGCTTTCTGGGTTGGGGGATAAACAAGGAGATCTCAAGCAGAGAGCAAACCCTGAATTATGAAGCATCCCAGGTTGACAACCAAGTCAGAGGACTCCCAGAGAGGTTTCCAGGAAAGTTCCCAGGGTGCCAGGGYACTGAGCAAAGTTCAGGGTGGCAGGACCCTGTGGCTTCCCCTGCCTCTTTGCAGAAATGTTCAAAGCATGCCACAAGCCAAAGCCCTTCCATCCAGGGAACTGTAGCCTCGAAGGAAGCCAGCTACGTTGGGCCTGCCACAGCATCACACCCAGGGAAATGGGAGAAAGGAGCCCCCCACAGAAGCCATGGGGGCGCCAGGAGTTGGCAAAGGGGTGGAAGTGCCCACCTCCCACCTCCTCTCGTCCCCTCAACCTGCAGTCTGGCACAGGCTTGCAACATAAAAGTGACAGCTAGAATGTTCAGTCCAATTAGATAAATTGGTTTGGTGTCTCTTCAGATTCCAGAACACTTGGAAATGGTAATTCTGCCAAAAGAGGCTCTGTCAGAGATGATCTGGGTGACAGACTGCAGTTAAAAACATCATCTATTGAGCCTAAAAAAAAAAAACACACACAGTAAATAAGGCAATCATTATTACCAGCACTGCAAAAAAAAATCATACAACATAACCATTTCAATAATTAATAGAGAATCCTGGCTTCCACGGAAAAACTCAAAAGGCTAAACAGAAATGTGTTGCTTTTTTGTTTATCAGCRGGACATGATTGTCACTTGCTTTCCTGCAGGCTGGAGATTTGCAATGGGCTTCATACACTCTCTCACTTAACAGAAAAGTCTCACATTTGAAAAATAGATGCTCAGGCCAGAGGTCAGTTTGTGAACAGGATGAAGCTGTATTAGCAGCATCAGGGGTTTGGTGCTCTGCCCAGGGGCTGGGAGCCAAGTTCAGTCTGCCTGCCAGGCCTGCAGGTACATCTCAGCTATGCCATCTGCAGTGCATGCGACAGCTCTCAGGAAGCTCTGGTCAGGAGTTGAAGTGGACTCAGGGATGGTCCAGGGTAAACTTTCAAAGAACTGCTGCCAACTTCACATGCACTTTGGTGTCCCCAAGATGACAGTGGACACCAGAGGGAGGTTACATGCCAGAGAAGAGCCACAGTGAAACAGGAAAGTTATCCAGGCTGCTGTGGCCAGTGGGTGAGACTGAGGGTACCAGAGAAGGACTGGACAAGGGTGATGCTGTCAAAGAAGGGCCAGTTAATCTTGTCCCGTAAGGGACCATCTCCACGTGGCTGCAATTCAGCAGAGCGCAAAGCTTATTGGTGACAAAGTCCCAGACAGAGGAATATGGAAATTGGGATTGGAACAACATGGAAAGCGTGAGAGACAGAGGACTGCGGAGGAACAGAGACAGAGAGGGAGCGGGTGGGGAGGAGACAGAGAGAGAGAGAGAGAGAGAGAGAGAGAGAGACAGAGACAGAGACAGAGACAGAGACAGAGACAGAGACAGAGAAGCTCAGAGAAACACAGAGAACAGAGATGAAGAGACAGACGTTAACAGATAGTGGGATGGAGAGAAGGAGAAATGAAGGAATTAAGAGAAGGATCACTTCTAGAATAAGAAACAGCTGAGAGTAAGAGGTTTTTGCTATAAACACTGGAAGAAAGCAACTGTCATTAAACACAATTAATGAAAAATCTCTATTTCCCATCTTCACTTTGAGGACACTGCGAGTTTACAGAGACTGTTGGTTTCCTGCAATTAGCAACAAGAATCCCGATTCAAGGAAGCTGCTCTCCAGCCCAGACGAGCATGAGGCAGAGAGAACGGGCTCCGCAAAAGACACGCTCAGACAAGACATGATCCGTGCCATCTGCGTGAGCCGCGTGGATACCAAAATCAAGAATCCACCATATGCCATGGCTAGTTGATTAAATGAAACCTTCTCAAGAGTTATTCTTTTTTCTTTTGTGGTCTTACAAAATCTGGAGAACCCTTCCACGTACTGTTAAAGATAGATACCACGACCATCTAGACTTCCCCCGACTGGCAGCTTAAGTGAACATTCTGTGGTCCAGACTATGCACACAGGGAAAGAAGCATTATTTTAYAATGTTAAGAAGCCAATAATATTTAAGTGGGCATTAATATTCATTTGAATTAATGATAATCTTTAAGATTGTTTTGGAGGTAGGCTGCACAATGTAATTATTATGTCAGAAGACTAAAAGGAAAAGTCCTTTTATCTCTTCTCTCTCTTTTCTCTCTCTCTCTCTCTCTCTCTTTTTTTTTTTTTTTTTTGAAGCAGCGTCTTGCTCTCTTGCCCAGCCTGGTCTCCAGCTCTTGACTCAAGCAACCCTCACAGCGCCCCAGGTAGCTGGGACTACAGGTGCATGCTGCCTGGCTTCTGGTTTTGGGAGAGCCATTTCAGTCCTTTCTGAATCAGGTGACGTTATGTTTCTGTTTTATTAATGAGTCTTGCCTCTTGCTCCCTCCCATTGCCTCTTTCACCCTTTGACTGGTCAGCATCCTCCTGTCCTTGAGGATTTTTAACATACCTCTGGAAGTTACACTGAATTTTCGGTCAGAGAAACTGCTCCTTCGGATTAAAGGTTCACTCATTTTTTCCAAAAATAACTTAATTGTCTCCTTCTTTTCTGGACTTGTGCTCGACAGATTCAGAACTTTACCATTCACTTTCACAGTGGAATTGCTGAGCCCAAACCAATAGAAGAAATCAAATAAGGCGTCAGCTTTGAATTCATACGCAAAACTCAAATTTTCTCCATTAATCACCTCAGTTCCTGGAGGGAAAAAATTCTTCACTACATCTTGGAAATCAAACTGAAAGACAGAGAAACATTTCATTGACTTTGTGGATATAATTACCATGTAGACATTTTAGAATCAATGAAAACTACCCAAATCTCCAAAATGTGACATTCTCTCTTTCATTCTGACAGATACCTTTTAACAGTTGTCTTTATTTAAAAAAAAAAAACACACCTTTGCTTTTGTATCATAAGATTTTGAACTGCTTGGCCAAAATTACATGTATTAATATTCTGTTTCTAATAAGTTGATAGAAACTAAGTTTGTTTGGGGGCTGGGGCTGTAGCTCAGTGACAGAGTGCTTGTCTAGCACATGTAAGGCACTGGATTCAATCCTTAGCACTACATAAACAAATGAACCAATAAAAGAAAAGCATGCCATCCATCTACAGCTACAAAAGAAAATTTAAAGAAAAGAGAAACTAAGCTCACTTTATTGGTAGCAATAATGACGTAGTAAAGAACAAAATATGGTTTTGCTTTCTGCAGTTGCAGTTACCTAGGGTCTGAAAATAGTAAATGGAAAAGTCCAGAAAGATAATTTATGTTTTAAATAACTTTATTATTATTATTTACTACTATTCTTTTATTATTATTATTGGAATTGATGGATTTTATTATTAGTTGTTGTTCATCTCTTTCTGAACCTAATTTAAAACTAAAACTCCRTCATAGGTATGTAGAGAACAGAACACAGTTACAGAACGTCTGGTTTCTGTAAAGTTCCAGGCATCCGTGTGATCTTGGCTGCTTACTGTAGTTCAGAGAAGGCCCTAGACACGCAGTTCTTGCAGGGAGTTCTTGGGCCTCTTCCGTGTGGCTGGGAGCCCTGGATTCACAGGCTAAATCTTACCTGAAGTCGGTAACTTTCTCCGATCACTGAAGAGATGACCATGTCCATCCCCTGTTCTATCTGTCTTCTTATCTTGGGGTGCCTTGTGTTCACAAGAAATGCGTATGTCCTTTCTAGAAATCAGCAAGCAGAATTCAAAAGTATGTACTTGTGTTATCAACATGCTTCTCGGGATTTGCTAAAGCAGGGGTCTCCACCTTCTCTGGAGATTTTATCCATCGATAACCTTCCCTCTCTGYTCCCTGAGACCCTTACCACAACACCTAGCCAGATTTCTAGAAATGTTCCAGAGATTTGAAGGGAGCTCTGGGCTACTGTAGAAGAAGCAAGTTGCAGCTTGCACTTATGTCTCAGAAATCAAAAGTCCCACTCTATGATTATTGCAAATGAGAACTGTGCCCCCACCACGTATCCAGCATGGGAAAAGAAAACGGTTTTTATGACCCAGCCTTGCTGCACATTTAAATCACAACTTGGCTCTCACCAACACTTTCTCATTTACACAGCAGAAAATCAGCTAAGTCCAGGGAAGAAAAGTACTCTGTGCCTTCCACCCCCAGCGTTCTTCCTGCCAAATGGTTAGGCTAAGGTTCTAAGCATCAGAGCAACTCATGATTGGTTCTCCTTCCTGCTCCTGACCCAACATCATCTCAAGTGAGAAAAAGTATCTTTCTCAGTGTTTAAATAGCACCACATCTCTGTCCTGGAAGACACTTCTTCCCCCTGTTATTATTGTTTTTTTTATCTTGTTTTGTATTATTAACCCCTTAAGTCTGATTCAATTCAACTTGCATAATATAAGCAAAGGGGAGGTTGTTTACTTATTAGGAAATTTGGAATCTCTTACTTTTCTAGTCCCCAGAAYCAAGCTCCATGACTTTAATTACTCAAGCACATATCTGAGGGAGAAACCGGAAAACCCACTTCACACTGTTTAAAGGCATGGACCAGCCATTCACAAAATCTCCTAGTGATTTCAAGAACTGAGCATTTGGTACTGGCTTTGAGATAGCTCGGAGGCAATAACAAACGAGTGCCAATAAAAGAATCTTCTTATTTTTCCTACTTGTTTGCCTTACTCCAAATTATTTTTTGGGTATTTCAGATGTAAATAATCTTATATCTTTTGGGAGACAAGAGATAAATAAAAGCCTAGTGGCTCTGGAGGTTGAAGCATGAGGATTGTGAGTTCAAAGCCAGCCTCAGCAACTTAATGAGGCCCTAAGCAACTTAGCAAGACCCTGTCTCTAAGTAAAATATAAAAAAGGGCTGGGGATGTGGCTCAGTGGTTAAGAACCTCTTCAATCCCTGGTACCAAAAACAAATAAATGAATAAAATAAAGCAAAAGCAAACCATTTGTAATTTGTTGTATTTTATACAAATAAAACCACAATCTTTAGATTCTAAAGACCCAGGGTTACCATGTTCCTCAGTTGGGCTGGGTGGGCAGGTTGTGCACTGCACAACTGCAGAGGAGGCCCTTCACATTTTCAGACAGGTCTGTTTGTGTATTTATTACACCAAAATTCTGGAAATCATTAGTAATTGCCTTAATGAAGTGGTGGCTTTTTAAATTTGCATATAATTCCAGTTTAAACCAGTGGGCGGACAAGTTAYCTTAGCTGCAATTTTCACAAGTTTCTAAACGTTATCACCTTAAGTTTCTAGCCTATAAAAATATCTTCATTTTATAACTTTTCTCAAAATTAACCAGATTCTGTACTTTCTTCCACAACAATCGCCCTACAGCTGTGTACTTCCTGTAGGACTCCCCACAAGGACCTTTTTGTACCATCCCGTACTTTCAAAATGTTAAAATGGAGAGGTCACTCATTCTTTCCTCCTGAGAGATCAAGGTGGGAAGTGTACTTGACACAGCTGTGAATTATACTCCAAGAGAACTACTGGCCCTCTGGTCATCACCAAGCCAARGGACACGCAGGGCTCAGATACTCAAACAGGCGCTGTTTGTTACGTGCATTCTGTTCTGGCCTCTCCTGCAGAGAGAGAGTGTCCTGACTGTGAATTATGACATGAGCAGAGAGAACTCCTCCGGGTCTGAGGAGAGTGAATGCTTGAGAAAGTCCATCTGAAATTGGTAGATCATTTCTTATTACCTTGGACTCATTTTAAGAATGACATTTAGAAGCAGTTGGAAGAAATTCTACCCTTGCCACAGAACATGATTCCCATGAGTCTACCCATGTGTCGCTCTGAGCAGGAAGAAAATGGGAAAATGGAGAGATGCTCATATTGGAATTTGAGTTGTAGAGTCGTTACCAGTTCATCTGCTTTCTTGGAAGAAACAATGGTGAGATGTGTCTAAACATGAAATTCTGTGTCTAAAATACAGAAACATGAAACTTGAAGCATCTACAACTGCAATTCATTTTATCTTAGTTTCCTCATCCATAAAATAGGGAGAGTCTATGTGCTTCATAGGTAGGATAACCATGTACCCTACCTTTCTGAGTCATCTCAGTTTATGCCTTTAACCCAAATTACTAACTATGAAGACTTTCATCCTCAAAATGTCCCCATTTGGATGATAAGATCTATAGACCTACAGTGTCAATAATGACATTAGAGTGTGCCTCGGACATATTGTTGGATGACCCTCATGGAGCCAGGCTTCGAAACCCTTGAAACCCTGGAAGGCTCAGAATGTCAGACTACTTCTTGTCTGGACAGGAAACAGGAAAGAAGCTCAGAACCCGGTGGCTTCTGCTCTAGGATCATCTGGGGTTTGTTCCAAAAGCTTGAGCAGTGCTTTAGACACCAGGCTCCTGGCTGCTGATCTTGTCACGAGCTGACATCTATCCTGCTTTCTCCATGGCCCGCTCTTCCCTCATCAGCCTACAACAGCCCATAGCCCAGCAAGACAGAACCACACCAAAATCATGGATGCACCTACCTTTCGAGGTGTCTTTTTTGGTCTGTACATTAATGAAGAACAGCATTGGTTTGCTCAATATAGTTTCCCTGTAGTCTTTATAATCACAGTAGTTGGTCAGTTCCACATACCTATGAGGAAGCAGAGATAATTAGGGCTGTAATATACTCTCCCACCTCAGTTAAAATGAGAATATATTGGATATATGCCTGCCACAGCCACGGACCCTTTGTGGGAAGTCCCATAAAATGTATCATTTCAGAGGTCACCATATTTTGGGACAGTATAAGTAAATCTTCTCCTGGTCATAGATGACTGGCTGAGAGTCCAGTGTGCAACTCAAAGGTAGCCACGGTCCTTAGGGTGGTTTAATATCAATGCTTGGCTCGCAGGGGAGTCTTTACCAGGTGATGACCAATTCTATCTATCATTTGGGGCCAGAAACTGGTAACAGCTTCATTTGAAAAGTTCCCAGTCCCTCTGGATTGAGAACTAAACTCAGTGAGTGGAACTRGATAGGTCTTCTCCAGTGGATTCAYACTATTTAACTGGTAGGTTTGGGATTTTCCTTTTCTTCTCTTTCCTACTTTCCCCCTCTAATCCCAAAATAGACCCAGCCCCCTCTACAGATGACACCATCAACCAATATTCATATGAACCATTCCTAATTCACATGTTCTCAACTCTCAGACAATGTACAATTAAAAACATAAAACTACTGTTGGATTTTTTTTTCCCCATCTCCTCATTAAATTTAGCCTCCTTGGTTTTAGTTCATTATTCCGGCCTAGAAAGATCTGAGTCTCGATTCTGTCAGCTAACATGTTAGCTTTGTCTCCCTGCCCTACAAATTTTCCAAGCAGCCTTTCCATGTCTCTACCTCCGTTGCTTAAAAAAAAAAAAAAAAAAAAAAAAAAAAAAGATCCAAGTGCAAATTAGCTTCCTCCAGGAGATGGCTAATTTTCTAACTACAAGCTCGGATGCTGTGTGAATGCAGACAGGCTGAATGGCAGCCCGCGGCTGGAGGACACCTTTGCCACAGTCCCTCTGAAACACGGAGCTGGCTCCCCATGGACACAGCTGCGAGCATCTGCTGGAGTGAACCGGCTGGCTGAGCTGACAGCTCCCTGCACCGTGGTTGMTTCTTCTATCTGGTGGCGAGCAGACAGCTCCAGGCATTTCTTTCCGAGGGGTTGTCCTTCCCGCGCCTTGACATGAAAATCACAGCCTTGGAAAGCCAAGGGTGGCCGCAGGGAGCTGTGGCCACACAGCTGTCTTGGCCTTCCTCCCGGTACCCACTTCCCACAACCCCACGGAGAGGCCGGCTTACAAGACAGTGACCAGGTGCCGGTCAAGAGCGCGCTGGACAGTATCCACCCCGAGGCAGAAAAACACAGCTTCTGCTTGGCTGTCTCCCGGCTTGATTTCTTAGAAATCTGTGCCATTTTCTTTGTGCTGCATTGTCAGACCTGAATTTTGAGAGCTTGTAGACTGTAGCTCCTGGTGGAGCCTCTGAARTGTTTCCTGCCTTCTATTTCACCAGGCTCTGAAAGTCATCTCCGCCTCCTAGGCCCTTCTGCACTGGTGGTGGCTGGAGGGCTGGTCCTGGAGTTGGTGGGGGACAAAGAACTGGAGTGTTCCAGAGCAGGAAAAGGGGGTGCAGGTCTGTGATGGAGGAAGGAAGAGGCTGGGAATGGAGAAGGAGCATACGTACCCAGGGAATGGGTGGGGTCAAAAATGTGGACCAGGGTGTTGTATATGTCTTTATTTGCCCCTTCCCCATCCTCACCCTCATCTGGGCAGAACATGAAAAGGGGGTGCGGAGAGGGATCCTCAAAAGACTGAGAGGGTAGCAGCTGTGTTTCCTGTCAGCTGGGAGAGAATCCTGACATCCTTGTTTGTCCCAATGGACCAACTTCAAAAGGTCCTGGAGAAAAGCAGCAAAGGAGAAGGAAGGAAAAGGAAAACCAGCGCCTTCTGGGTTCATCTCACTCATCCATCCGCTCAACAATTCATCAAGCCCCATGGTGCGCCGGGCGCCAGTAGGCACAGGTGCCTCTTTACGGCCGAGCAGCTCAGAGCCCAGGAAGCACACAGGGAAGAGAGCCTCCTGGACTCACCCTCGTCCTTATTCAGCTGTCAGTGAGTGATTGGGCACAGGGCAGCCAAGAGTGGCCTGGGAAGAGGGTGAGGAGAGGCAGCTGAGGTCTGCGGTACAAAGGGAGGCAGTGTCAATATCAAAAAGATAGGTGTGAGTGACCAGTGTGAGTGACAGACACCACCTGTGACCCATCCAAGGCAGGCCGCACATTCTCCCGCTACCCATTTATCATGGAGTTGACAGTCACGTAAGCACCTCTCCCCAAGGTGATTCCTCTAAACGTCAATATCCATGATCCCATGGTCCTTCTGTAGAGCTAATGCATAGTGCCTGCACCATGCACGCAGAAAATCGACAGTTTCGATTACTTTTCTGATGACCAAATGACAGTGCAATATTTCCCTCTGCCTATGAAATCAATTGATATCTGACTGGAGACATTGATGAATCTGACTTCACTGGATTTTCTTCCAATGAGCACACAGCTTAAAGGAAAAATACAGCAATCTCAACCTAGAAATGATCATTGTTAGTTGGGTGTGGTGGTTCATGCCTGTAATCCCAAAGGCTTGGGAGGCTGAGGCAGGAGGATCATGGAGTTCAAAGCCAGCCTCAGAAACTTAGTAAGGCCCTTTAACTTATTTAGACCCTGTCTCTTGAAAAAATATATACATATATATTTAAATAAGGGCTGGGGATGTGGCTTACTGGTTAAGCGCCCTGAGTTTAATCAATCCCTAGTACCAAATAAAGATAAAATAAAGCAAAAGCAAGGTTCAATCCCTGGTACAAAAAAAAAAGAAAGAAAGAAAGAAAGAAAGAAAGAAAGAAAGAAAGAAAGAAATTATCAGTGTTGTAAGAATAATCAGTTTCCACCAGAATTCTGCAAAATATGTTTTTTTTTTAATGCTATAGACTCAACAAGTGATTATTTGGATGATCACAGAAAGGGGCCCTCTGGATAGTCATATATTGACTTTAATGTATAACCTTTATAGGAATTATTCATTTTGGAGTCTGAATTTAATAAAGTGCCTGAATAATAAAAGTATGTGTGACATAATTTGATATTCCTTTGATGATTTGGAGGTATTTGAAGAACATTAATGGGCGGTAAACCTCATCATAGAATACGTCAGTTATTTCTGTATCACACATGTGTGAAAATCTGCTTATCCCAGAGCTTTAATGCCAGAATTTACAGACAAGAGATTGTGGCAAGATCCTTACCTAATAAATTCCTTATCTCTAACCAGACTGCAAATAAGAACTAGAGTAGGCTCTCCTTATCCTCCAGAGATAAGTTCCAAGACCCCCAGTGAATACCTGAAACCTCAGATAATACCAAATCCTACCCACAAGAACTGATCTTATAACCTAGAAAGTAACTAAGTGACTAACAGGTGGGTAGTATATACAGCGTGGATACACAGGATAAAGGGATGATTCATGTGCTGGGCACTGGAAGGAATGGATAGTAGGAGATTTCATCATGCTACTCAGAATGGGTGTCCAATTTAAAATTTATGAGTTATGTTTTTGTTGSGCTTTCCATTTAATACTCTCTGACCACAGGCAACTAAAATCAAAGAAAGCTAAACCACAAATAAGGGGGGAAACTACTACTGTATTTCATTAATTCCCCCAATTCCAGCCTGCCAGTTATGGTCCAATTGTTAAATACCTTAACATTCCAGTGAAATAAGTCAATGTGAACATTCCTTTGAAATTCACTGTTACAAAGTTTGGATACCTAAGTCACTAAAATATGAAAAGATCAGAGGATCTAGTTGTTAAGTCCTGTAGATATTCAAGTATCTGACATTTAATCACTGGTTTAAGATGAACCTTASGAGAGTACATTAGGGATTGGTTATTTGATCTTTAATCATGAATATTTCTGAATTAGTAATGCAAATATCACCTCTGTGTATTGAATTTATATTTGCTGAAGTTACCATTAGGGATGAAAATCAAACAGTTTAAGATAGACAGTTCCTTTAAACTCTCATTTCTTCATTGCTTTTACCCCAGCACCAAAATGCTTCTAGATTAAAACTTTCTAAGTCTGACTTGAGMGCAAAGATTGGAAGGCAAGACAATGTCAGGGGAAGCAGAGAGATTCTAAATAAGACCTAATTCATGTCCTAACTGGCTGACTGTGTGAACTCCGTCCCAGGGTCGTCCCAAGCTCACTGTGACCTTGAGTGAGTTACTTGTCTGAACCTGCTCCTTTATTAGTCAAAGGGGCAAAACAGTATTTCCTTGAGCCTGATGTTTAAATGCATGTTGGGGAACATGAACTCATGTCCTTGGGCCCATAATAGATCCTCAGCAAACACTATGAGTATCTTTCATCCTGACCAACTTGGCTGGCTTCCAAGGTGAAGTTCTGTAAGTTTCTGACTCCCAACTGGGCTGTGTTCACTTGAGTTACCAGGAAGGGAGAACAAAATGAATATCTGAAAGGTAAATGAGCAAGAATTTCCACTTCCCTGCTCCAACTTCTTCCCTCATCTTTCCCATTTGGAAGGCTAGACAGAACAGCTTAAAGAGGCAACCTCTAATAGCCAAAACCAAAAAAAGAGCACTGTGTTTTGCTTCCAGCGAAATTAGAAGTGTCTGAAAGATCCACTGTCCTCCAAGATACCCACCTTCAGTCTCCTTCAAATTTCACATCATCACTAGCATGGTCTAGAAAGTTGCTCCAAATGTCTTTTGACTCTAACAATTTATTGCTCAAAGACAAACAGGAATCCAAACCCACAAACTCCACCCAAGGGGGTGGGCATGTGTGTGTATATTTTAAAACAGCTAAACATATAAAAAAAACATCACATTTTAACCCCACATATAATATACATATATATGGATATTGATTATATATAATTACTTATCARTTAAATAAAAACTTTGCCCCCCCCMAAAAAAAAGTAAATATAGGGACCAGGTATTTGAACATCCATGTTCGTAGCAGCATTATGCACAATAGCTAAAAGGTAGAAGCAACACAAATGTCTACCAACAGAT